CATTCTTCAGTTAATTGAATGATTATCAAATTCAGTTATCGAATGATAATCTGTAGTTGTAGACTAATGATCCGGAATATAAACAGAATACACTTTAATGGTAAATCGCCACATGACACATAACAATATCACTGTGCCATTCAACACCTGATGAATCTATGTATACTGCAATATTAGTAATATATTGGTATAATTCTTTCAAAAGCATCAACGGTAACAACCATGTGACGCATAGTCGTGAAAGCCTCAAATATCTAGCCAAAACATACATACCCAAATATTATAGTAACATAACTATTGAATTTATTAGACTAGAACCTTAAATATTAGTTATAGCTTATAACTGTATAACACAAAACGATATAATTAATAACAAATAGTTAAATTCTCAAAACATTAGTACTACTGTTTACATTGATTAATTTTTCAATTAATTTGCTTTAAAATATATGAATATATTTAACAATTAAGAGTAAAATCTGTCGGTATATTAATGTATCATCCATTATCTACAAATTCAGGCCTGTATCTTTCTGAACGGTTTTAAGTGGCCAATAATTTTTGTAACTTATTTTGTTATGGTACATCATGTAATACATTTTATCAGAGTCTTATAAGCAGACAACACCGATTATTTCGAAGTCACTGAAAAATATCCAAAATGGCCGTAGCAAGGTGATTAATACAAGCGAAGAAGCACTAGACTTTTTTAATTGACAATTACCGATGTGCACCAATTAATATTAATAAACAAAAATGATTTGCTTCCACACCTTCTAGTACAAGCAGATATTCTGGATATTCTGGATGGAGGTGAGACTAACTGATGGTGCATATAATTTGCTAGATCCTTAATTGCACAACACCTGGTGAATGCCTGGAGAACTGACATCATCTTACCCTGCTAGAACTAGGACTAGTTTGGCTGACCGATATAAGTGTACACCAATTATCTGAACTAAAATTTGAAAATATCGCTTCAGTAATGCTGAAATTCAACCTGATGTTAAGAAAGTAATTGATTGATTAGGTGCACCAGCACTCAAGATAATATTCTATGTAAAAAAATTCATTATCATGCTTAATCTGTTTTTGTAAATTAAAGAATAAAATTTGATAGTCTTTATATCTTTCAATAGACTAATATCAAATTGATCGATACAAATCACAACTTTTTCAGTGATCTTTTTCACAGATGATCACATACATATGAAGACAATGCAACAAGACATTTTGAAACTAGTACACTGCAAAATCAGAAAAATTGCTGTAATCTTCTTTGACAATTTTGTATATGCCTAGTAATGTTTGGTAAAAAGAAAACAGAACAGAATTAATACATCAGCTAGAATCATTAGTAAATGCAACTAGTTCAAAATTGCCATACCAGGTGTTAATATTGGCGATCTCTCAATATCATATCAATTATCACAAAAATATTATTTTTAATTAAAATCATTTAAACATCCTCAATGTACAACTACTGACATGGATAGTAGAACAAGCTTAAATCTTTAATGTGACAAGACTCGTAATAATTGCACATGCATTCTTCCGGCTGCATCAGAATGTAATTTCGTGAATTGCCAATGTTGCGCACAATATCTTATTTAACCGTGCAAAGAAGGAAACTGCTAATTTCATTTGTTTCTACGTTTGTGTAAAACCAGTTCACGAAGAAAACGGTATTTACATACAATGTATACAAAAATCACATCTGATATGACAGATAAAATCTGACTGTGAGGAGTTATCCAATAAAACCATTAATTAACATGAATAAATAGTATTTACATTTATCAAAGAATGAACAGTCAAATATAGCTGCGATGAAGCATAGAGCATCTTTTTATGTAGCCAGCAATGTCTCTGTAACAAGGCCCAATAAGTTTGTAGATCCATCAATGCTAATATAATTCGCACTAGACGAGTTTAAATAAAGGAATATTTGATCATGAATGCCACCAAGAATTCGCTAGCTTCACTAGGCTGTAGTTCTGCCTTCGGGTAGAATGATTACACGTGGTTAAATGGAAAATGATCACATTCAACATATGGAACAGCGCGGTTTATCATTCAAGAATACCATGTCAGCTGTAATTCATATAACACGAATTGAGTATGATACTACATGTATATTATATATAATATAGGGTTATGTATAACATATTATACGTAACTCTATAATATATTATACCCTACTATAAAAAAGATTCTCACCTGAAATCACGCGTAGGTGTTGTGTTTGGGACATGGAAATTCCGAAAAATATTTCGAGGATCCCGGTTTTTATATATGCCGAACAATTAAGAAGTGGAGCTCCCTACATAAACTCATATCAAGGGAGCCTGCTCGATACTAATAATGCTTAAGAATTCACAGCAATTTCAACCTGCTGTATCTTCAATACGCCTGCAGGAGGCTCAAGAAGCAGAAATCTAAGACTTTAATTTGTTTATTAAAGCCTACTCTTGCAATATTTAACAATTAAAAAATATAGCAT